ATTTCCTATGCTAAACTTTTATTTGCCTCTTATTCTTTTTGTGTTTAGTATATCCTGGCTCTCACCACTGTCTAGTCCTAGTTTAAAACTTCACTTACAGCTGAGTTAATAGCCTTAGCAAACAAGCCAGCCCATACTCTATTTAAAAATCCATTCCAAAAAACTCCCTTCTTCCACTAAACCGATCCTACAAATCCAAAAAGCCAATCTGTTCATCCTTACATATTAACCAAGCCTAGTATGTAGCCCTAGTGATCTAGTTATAACTTCATCCCCAAAGTTAATTCTGAGCAGTATCTCTGACAAAATTAAGTTATGGTCTGTTTCTTTAAATGCCTTTATCAACCCCATGTACTTATTAATTAGCTCCTCTGACCTACCTTTCCCTACATCATTAGCCCCTACATGCAATACAAAAACTGGATCTCTGCTAACTCCCTTTATTATATCTCCTGCTGTGTCAGTTATATCCTCCACCTGTGCCCTTGGGTAGCATAATCTTATTCTTTCTTCTCTATAAATTCTATTTACTTCACAGACTATTCTGCCTTGTCAAGGAATCACCTCTAATTATAACTATAACCTCCTTATCATCCACATCCTTCTCTGACCCTTTTGTTCTCCTTCCCTCCAAAGTTCCTCGTCTGCAGAAGCCAAGGGCTGAAATTTGTTGCTCAACAGAAGAGGCTCATGATAATTAAATCCACTACTTTTAGCCCTAATAGTTCTCTTTCTAATTTCCTGAAAGTCATTGTTAGCTGATGTATCCCTTGCATATAAAAGCTTAAGTTCCTCTTGAAATGCTGCTGCCATTTTCCACAGTCTACACTTCTTTTTAATTATGATTGCCTCCAACTTCTCTTCCAACCTACAAACTACACATAAAAATTTTACACCTGCATCACTAGCTTCCTTAAAATGTTAAATTAAAGGTACATGCCAGTCCAGAGTTTCCAAATAAAACCCACTCATTACACCTAACAAACTGTTAACGCCTAACTCCTACACTAGTCTTAACCATTGTATTTATACTGTTAAGCATCTGTTTGTTTGTTTCTTTCCTGTAGAAATTCTTTCCGAGGATCTTCAGCGAGTCCTTTGTTGATTAAACCAGTTTATTCTTCCTCGATACAAACTTTTAGTACACAGAAGTTCCACAATCAGTTTCTC